CGTATGTGCCGGCCCTGTATGCAAGTGATAGTTTAGATATTTCTGAACGAGTTTGTCATGTATGGCATCCATATGAAAGTCTACATCAGACGAGGCTATTTAAGAACATTACTCGAGTTTTGGTTTTGTAGCAACTTGCGGTATTATGTGAAACTAACCCTAACGCTGCCTAATCTGTGTTTAATTTCCTTTTCTCCTATACTAAATTTTTCACTTTTCTCTCTCTCTCTCTCTCTCTCTCTCTCTCTCTCTCTATCTATCTATCTATCTATCTATGTATCTATCTATGTATCTGTTGTGTCGGAAACCTACCACCTCTCTTGAAGATGAACTTGTCTGCGTCTGTGAACAAAGACTTTAAATAGTGACATGTCAGCTGACATGGGGGGAAGACAGATAGACAGAGAAGTTCTTAGCTGAGCTAGTTATTGACTACTCAGGCGATTTCTGTACCTTTTTACCAACCTATTAAAACCCTTTTTATTGTTACGTGTTATTTGGCGTTTGTCTCTACTAACCCCAAATCAACATCATAACAAACAGTATTACCCATTGTATTATTGCGTAAATACATTTAATTTCTTATCTTTAATTCTTGCGTTTGTCATTCATTGGAGACCGAATTTCATCTCGGAATCCACAACAAAAACGGAATCGTTTTTATTAACCAATAGACCAACAGAAGTCTCTACTGATTCATTTCCAGTTTGAAATTCTGTTGTTAAGAAATGTCACACTGACTGATTTAATTTTAGCATTTCAGCCAGTTCCTATGTCATTTCTACGCTCAGACCTTTCCACAAGGGAATACCAGAAGCCATGAACAGGTTAGGGTTCAGTCGCTTACAGGGGTCTTCATACCGGTCATTAATTAGCAATATCTTATTCTTAAGGGATAATGAATAAAGTGCTTACGGCGAAGAGGCAAACTGATAATCCAGTCCACGCGCTGGGATAAAAACAAGACTTGAATTTTTCTTTTGACGAGATGGATAGATGAGATCAAAAGAGGCTATGAGGCTTTTACTTCAAAAGATTGGTGAATGTGTAACGTCGGAGAAGTACGGTAAAATTTAGCAAAAATGAGATACTGATACTGACATGGTCGTTGTTCCAGTCCTGGTGAAGGCCATAATGTCTAGCTTTGTTAAGCTTTTCAAAATTTAACACACTGACTGCCAATGACGAGATATCTCGTAGTTGGCAAATATTATTATGACCGCCCCCCCCAAAATTTTGTCATCTTACCATCAAGACTACAATCACGAGTTAACGCGAAGAACTGGTTTAGTTTAGTTGATTATGGTTAGCGGCATATCAACACCTCTATGGGTTATTTAATGGCGAAATCTAAATAATTTGAACACATTTTTATGGCTTCGACTAAATACATTTTTAATGCAATTGTATGCCTACAACTACAGATAAAAAGTATAGCTGATCATTTTGCTTTAAAAAAGTATTGTTGGTCATTTTACTATAGATATGTACCGTTGGTTAAGATAAGCTTAATAACATTATCATTAAACGACGATATGAAAATAATTAACAAAAATAAATAGACAATACTTGTCTATATTATTTAATGAAACATTTATCAATGAAAAAATTCTACACACACACATATATATATATATATATATATATATATATATGTGTGTGTGTGTGTGTGTGTGTGTGTGTGTGTGTGTGTGTGTAACTATACTCGTCTCGAAAAACCTTCGAAGTTTTGATTTGCCAGCTTTCCCTGAGGATCCGCTTAAGTGAAACCTGGGTAAGTTTGTCTGGCTCACTAGGTTTGACTATATATATATATATATATATATATATATATATATATATATATATAAATGTATTGCTGGTATTTTTACCATAGAAATGTTGTATTTTATACTTTCATAGTGTTTTTATTTTTGTTTGAGAGCACACTATTTGCCCATAGCTGGGACCCTAACAGATGCTACTACCCCGGGTGAGGGTGGACTTGGAAACATCAGAAATTAAGAAATAGTCCCACGCTCCTCAAAACCTCCAATCTCCCGATCAGACGCCTTGCTGCCGGATGTAATTCATCGTCATACCCAGGACTCACAAAACTGGTACCTAGCGTCTAAGGCAGCAATGAATAATCATACTCGCTACTAAA